AGGATGGTTATTAACAAGTTAGCTAACTCTCGTTAGACAATTGTAAGCAGACCTCGAAAATATCTTGAATAGCTGCAGATACTATTATAAAGTTATTAATTGATTAAGATGCACTGAAAAATGATACTTCCATACTACCCTGTTCTTCTTTGGTGTCTTCTCTTTGGCCTCGTTGTTTCGCTGAGGCTTATAAATTTTGAGTTTGTATTATGTTCAGGGCGTTTTTCATTGTGGGTTTCATTCCAAGAAATCCTACGGAGCAACTCCCTACTTGATTCTTCATCGCGAGGGAAATATACTTGTTGATAGGTATATGCCCTTGGGAGGCATCATGGATTTTTCTTTTTTTTCTTGTTTAGTAGCTTATACTTTGTAGCTGCAATGTTTTCCTTGGTATACTTCGTTATGGCATTTAACTTGACACTACTGATATACCAAGGTTTCGCTGTTTGCTGCAGTCCCAGGTACACCGAGAAACTTGCTAAGAAGATTGAGATGATGGGTGGTGTTCGCTACATGTTTTTGACACACAGGTAGATTTGATAACACCAAAAGGATAAAGCTCCATGTTTTCTCTTGTAATCTCTGTTACAAGATGATAAGCTACTTCATTGTTCAGGGATGATGTTGCGGATCACAAGAAATGGGCAGATCGATTCAAGTGTACCAGAATCCTGCATTCTGAAGATGTATGTCTTTGAATTTATCCCACCTCTCTAGCTAAACTTTCTGCACATTCTTGATAGATTTCAACATCTAGATCCATGTAGGGACACAATTTTGTTACTAAATCCAGCTTTAATGACACTTAAGGGATCTCTGTTAGGTTGAACCTTCGACCATTGATGTGGAGTTAAAGCTGGAAGGAAGTGGACCATGGAGCCTCTATGAAGATATTGTGCTCATACACACTCCTGGTCATACCAAAGTAAGTCTTGTCCAACTGCAAGAACATATATGAAAATGAAATGCTCAATTTTTGTTAAAAAGAATTTCACTATGATCTTCGATTATAAGATAAGAGCTTTGTACAAAATAACAGGGATCAGTGTGCTTGTTCCATAAGCCACTCAAGGCATTATTCACTGGAGACCATTTAACAATGTATGAATCTGGAATGAGCATTATAGAGCTGTACAATCATTGTTCAGGTAAAAGACCAATATGTTGCTATATTTCTTTGGATAAAATGTTTTTGAACATGAAAACATAATACAGTAATGCTTTTTGGTCTCTGGCAGTGCCTCTCCAGCTCGAGAGCGTAGAAAAACTGATCAACCTAGATTTCAATTGGATAATACCAGGTTAGTGCATTTCTGCTTATATGCTTGAATCTGTTTTACTTGATGGAGATTTTGGATTCTGATGGCGATTGTGTATAAAAGGACATGGAAGAAGAGTACATTTCAAAGATGGAGAAGAGAAGGCTAAGAGTCTGGAAGCACTTGTTCAGAAGCACAGAGAGAAAGAACTTGATTCTAAAACGGAGAACCAAACTAAAACCTGTCACGTAACACAATCGCGATTTTCCACGTGAGTAAATGTATTGCTCTGTAACATTGTAAAAAACCTGCTTTAACTAAAACGAAGAATGTGAGTAAACTCTTTTTCAGTCTTTCAGATGCATGTGTTTTTATTTTATTTTGTCACTAGATCAACCTCGTTCTGACTATTTTAATTCAAAAATTCCTTTCCAAAAGAAACTTTTCTAAACATTTGAACGTTTTGTTGCCTTAAATAGCAAGAATACGCTGCTCTGTATAGGTTTTGGATGTTTGACAAAGGTTTCTCGCAGAGTTATCTAACACAATACATTTCACATAGTTATACTGAACTCGGATGCATAAGGTATTTGATAAAGTTTTCTTAGGAAGTATGACTGTTATAAGATTCACATATGCAGAGATCATCACATACACGGGAAGTAACATAAGAAGCTCATTTAAAAAAAAAAAATGCATTATTAACCATCCACAAATTTAGCATTAATTGTCACCAAATTTAACAAATTTTTGTGACAAGTTTAAGTTAACCACGCTACAAAAATAAATGTCATCAAAAATCCGTGACGTAACTTTTTTCAACCACTTCACTAAATAAGTGGAACCTCATTCAAAAACTGCCACGAAAACATTCCCACCAACAACAAATATATATAACTCACTTTGTGCTCTCCACTACAAACCCAAAAAAAAATTACAAAAACTAAGCATAGCAATAACGTTATTCACACAACATACATTTTCATCACAAACCGTTGACAAAAGAAAAAAAAAAAGAAAGAGACATGGGAAGTGGAATGATAACGACAATGGTTATAGCCCTAGCTTTCTTTATGATCGGTTCCGACAATTTCCACGTGGCAACAGCTGCGACCTGTGGAGCTGACCTGTCGGGACTGGTGAATGAGTGTGAACGTTACGTCGACAACGCCGGACCACCGTCGCAGTCTTGTTGTGATTTAATTCGTCCCATCGACGTAAGTTGTGCATGCCACTACGTTTCATGGGTTGTTACGACCTTAATTGATATGGACAAAGTGGTTAACGTTGTTCGTTCTTGCGGCAAGATGATTCCATCGGGTTATAAATGTGGAAGTGAG